GAAGTAATGTAAGGGGACTCTCTTTGCCAGGTTCCTTTTCAAAGCGTTTCTTTTTGATGGTTGTTTTTGAAACCAAGAAAGTATTCTCTAAACAGTTTTTTTTTGCTGCTTTTTATTTATTTAGCAATAAGCCATCTAACTTCCATACCTCTAGCTGCTTTATACTCAAGGTAGAAGGAATTGTTAGCTTTCTTGATAGCTCCAGGTTGTTACTAAACTTAGATTCAAGTTAAAAATGCAGAAAAACTTTGGGGGGAGTTGTCTGTGTGAAGTAAAATGACAATGAGGCATCAGACCTTCACAAACAGGTTTGAATATGAGCATTTTCTTCATTAGCCTTTGCGTTTTAAGTGCTAAATTAATTGACAAGCGCAAATAAGCTTAACTCCTGAGTTCTCTCCCTTGCCTACCATTTTTCTTCCCCTTCCCCTGACTCATTCCCAGGACTGCTGAACACAGCCTACATGCAAATTTCTTCTCACCATCTTTTCTAACTCCAGTCAAAATATGTAAACAATGTTTTTCTTTAGCACTGAGGGCACATCCAACCCAAATGTTTCATTACAGGCTATAGAGCTTTTTGTGTTGTAATTACAGTATTGATTAACTATGCTTTGGATTACCAGAATAACAAACTGAAATTTTAGGTCAATCTGACCTATGCTAGACAGGAAGCTTTTAAAAGGGTGAAGATAAAAATCCAAAGTCATGCACTCAGAACTTTGTATTGCAAGACAACAGCTTCATGCTGCAACATAAAATTGGATGCCAAAATCTAAGTTAAACAGAGTGTGTGCCTCCTGTTAATGTTATGTGTTGCCAGCTGATTTCTAAAGTAGCAGGAAATCCTGTGGATTTCATCTTTATCAACAGCTTTTCATAGTGCTGAATTCTCAAGTGTTGCTCATGTGTTTTCTAACTCAAGAACTTGAAGGCTACCTAGTTTCAGGAAAACTTTTGTTGCTGCACTTTTGAAATTCCCTTTCTGCAGGTGCACGATACACACGGTTTCAGATATCTACTGGTCACCACATCATTGTTTATCAAATGATTTTCAAAATATTCTTGAATCTCACTAGTCATCTATAGTATTGTGTTAATGTAACATTAGAAGGTTAATGATTTTGCTTGTTTTACACAATTGTATGATCTTGTCTCTTTATTTTTTAGGTATGCTTGGCCATGACAATGGATTTATTTGCATCAGATACTCTTATATGAAAAGATCACAATTCCAAAGAATCTAAAAGTTATTTCATCTCCTGAAACAGTATGGCAGGCTTCAAACGAGGATATGATGGAAAAATTGCAGGATTGTATGACTTGGATAAAACTTTGGGCAGAGGTCATTTTGCTGTGGTCAAACTTGCTCGACATGTCTTTACAGGTGAAAAAGTAGCAGTCAAAGTAATTGACAAGACTAAACTGGACACTCTAGCCACTGGACATCTGTTCCAAGAAGTTAGATGCATGAAACTTGTACAGCATCCCAATATTGTACGACTGTATGAGGTGATTGACACCCAGACTAAGCTCTATCTTATCTTAGAGCTAGGTGATGGAGGAGATATGTTTGATTACATCATGAAACATGAAGAAGGTCTGAATGAGGATCTCGCAAAAAAATACTTTGCTCAAATAGTTCATGCTATATCCTACTGCCATAAACTGCATGTAGTTCACAGAGACTTAAAACCAGAGAATGTCGTCTTCTTTGAAAAACAAGGACTTGTGAAATTGACTGATTTTGGCTTCAGCAACAAATTTCAGCCCGGAAAGAAGCTCACCACAAGTTGTGGGTCTCTCGCATATTCTGCTCCGGAGATTTTACTTGGGGATGAATACGATGCACCAGCAGTGGGTAAGCCGTTTTGTATTCAGCCAGTAGCCTGAGTGCCATGATGTTGGACCCCTTGATTTTCCCTTTCAACGTGATGCCATATATGGAAGCCAGCTAATAAGCATGACGTAAATGCTATGAGCTGAAAGTTACTGAATGGCTTTATTTGAATGAGGAAATATTTACAACTGTCAAAAGTGCTTAACATTTTTATGTTACAGAATGAAGTGATCACATTCATCATAAATAGCTATGGTAATTTTATTAACACTAAGGTGAATGCAACTGCATATATCCATACCTACAATACTAAAAAACCCATTTCCTTTGTGTGCCTTGTTTTAAAATAAAGTGATTCTTTTGTCTTCAGGCTAGCAAAATAAGAAAGACAGTTACATTTCAAACCTGGGCTGATTATGTATTCTGCTATAAGAAAACTAGGTTTTAATGGATGTTCTTTTAGTTTTTTGTGTCCTCCTTTGATCATTAAGGAGGCCTTAGCTTCCTCTTCTCCCTCTCTGTCCTCCCTCATCTGGGAATCTGAAAGTTGGGGTGGTAGGGGTGAGATTTCCAGTTGCCCTCATATTTAGAAGGTGAGGGAAACAATGTGCAAGTTAGCTTCCATATTTCCAGCTGGAAAGGTGGAGAGTGGTAGACAGGCTGATAAAGATAATTTTTACTTTTCTGTTAGGTTTACTGCATATGCTATTAGAAGTAACTTAGGGTGTGAGATTTGTTTTAATAGCTGTAAAAGCTGTTGGTAGAATTACTGAGTACTGTTGTGCACTCATACAGGTTGCCCATATGTGTTAGATGAGGTAGAATTTACTTTTCATATGTTATCTTGTAAACAGCTTTAGGTACATAGAATTCCAATGAATGCCTTAAAACTAGCTAATTGTAGTCAAAATTCTTTGCGCTTCTGTACCTGGTAGTTTAATCTTTCTCAATGCTCGGTAGGACTCTTTAACACAGCTACACATTAATTTGGTGCAGTTACAGTAGTGGTTGTAGTGGTGAGAGAGAAAACTCGAGTGACTTATAGCTTGTCTCTGCCGAACTTCTTTTTCTTTGGCTGGGGAGAAGAAGAGTTCAGGAAAGTTGCTCATTTACCAGAGGTGCAGGTGCTACAGATTACCTCATGTGCTGGTGAGATATTTACACATATTATATAGAGCTAAGTCTTGCTTTATTTTTAATACAAGGATTTTTAGTGATTAAATGTTATGGTCTTTGCTTAGACTGTCAGTTTATGGATTCTGATGTTGAATAGGTGTTTTACTAGGAGTTCGCTAGACTTGGGAGTATTTTCTGAAATGTGCTATAATTAGGAATGTCAGATGCTTGTTACTTGTCTCTTTGCTTATCCACGCTGATGCTACAGTGATGTTTGGCAGTGATTTCTACTCAACAGTTTCAGAAGTTCTAGATTTGTTGTTTCTGGTTTTATCAGGGACAAACTTGAGATCCTAGATCCCTGAGTTCCTCTGTGTAATTACCTCTTTATGAATATCTCCTGAAGTCTGGATCTCCTGATTTTAGTGCTGTTTTACTCATAACTTTTGACGCTACATTTCATATTTCTTTATGATTGGTCTTAGTTCTACTGCAGTTTTACATTACTTTGAAAGAGAAGCTATCACTAATGAGGAATAAATGTAATGGTGCTTAAGGATAGTGACGTATTGCCTTATCTGTCAGTAAAAGGAGACTTGAGGTTTATTTGACTGCATCTTACAAGAAACTATTGTGAGGGGTGTGAGGGTAATACCCATAATATGGAAATATTGGGGCTTGTCTGAAGAAGATATAGTTTTGCTATATTATTTTGAAAGATACCTTTCTCTACTTACCTTGCAGAGCTGCATTAAAGAATGCTTTGAATCTGACTTCAATGTAAAAGCTTTGACCACGTGGTCCAAATTTGAATTCTATAGATAAAAAGCAGACTTTGCACCTCTTTGTTGCCACCATTCTTACTTTTTTTTATTTAACATGTTTTTTACAGGAAAAACTGTGAAGTTTTAAATAATAGTAAAAGGAAAATGGTTGAATGAATTAACAGAAGGTGTATCTAGCTATTCTAGCCACGTGGCTGATGCAGACAGTAGAAAAACTTACAGAAAAAAGAACTTCTTACAACTTCTGGTCAAAGATGGTAGCTAAGTTTTTTTCCCAATATATTTAAATAAGGAAAACCTAACTACAGATGATTGCATATTCCCCAGTGCGTATTCCTCAGTTGCTGGATAGTAGGACTTTCCCTTAGTCTGGTGGGCAGATTGCAGGGGTTGTATTCAAACATTTGTGACCCAGTTTTCATCACTTTGTTTTATTTTAACTCCAACTACTGTACTGACAGTACTTTACCTGTTTAAGAATTGTGCATTGCAAAGTTTACTACGTGTTGCCAGAAAGATAATATGTCTTTGAACAATCCAGATTTTCTTCTCTAACTATGAATAAAAGGTAAGAGATATCATGCAAAGGCTTGCTTTGTAATACAAAGGTAGTGAAAGAAGAAAAATCCTTTTCAGGGTTTTCTCTAAACCCTTTCAACAAGCAAGAAGTAAACTTGTGAATTTTTTTCTTAACCTTTGAAGACAAGCTTTCATGCTTAGATAAGGTCATGTGTGGACTACAAGTTAGTATAAATTCAGAACTAGACTAGATAATCTTTCAAAAGAACAAGTTACCGTGGAGATAAAATATGAGGTCAATAGTGCATGATGTTTCTGTATAACCTGAAATAGTAGCAAAGTGATGTCGACTCATTCAGTTATTGTCCAAATATGGCTATTAGCATTACAAGACTAATAATCGATACAAAAATATTTTATCAGGGTGAAATTATGTTTTAGCTGAGCCAGTCTGCAAGCTTGTGGCTGCTGAAAAAGGGGCTTATGCTTGCCCTTGTGTTTACTGCATGGACATGCCCCTCTGTAAGCTTCTGGCTGCTTGATAAATCAGTTGAATTGGGGCAATCTTTTTTTTTTTTTTTTTTTTACTTTTTATGCTGTGCTAGTATGCTAGTTTGAGAGTAAATATGCAGTCATGATAATCTTTTACTGTACTTTTTCTTGTCACAAAGAACTTATATGTACAGGACAAGTCTATTAAGCTATATGCTTAGTCAATACTGTGGTGAAGATCAAAAACTGTTTCAACTTTAGTTATTATTTATTATTATAATGATTTTTTTTATTCAGCTTTCATTTGGAGATCAATCTTTCCTTTGTGATGCAATTTAAGGGTTTTTGCACTTGCAGAGCGTAGTTGATTAAGCTCTGTCATTTCCTTTCGTGTTTAAGGTTACAGTTAAAATGGTGCAAGAAGAAAATTGGGCAATGGTCACATTTCCCAGGGCTTTTAAAAAGGCTGAGCAAGTCAGCTAAGGAGATGTTTAGTTGCTGTAGTTTCCCATGTTGTTGTTTTTCTTCACTGTTTTTCTTCTGGTCAGAGGAAAGTGAGATAGAACCATTCCTATGTATAAAGTTAATCTTAGTCTGATCACACGATTTTTAGGTCAAATCAGAGCTCACTCTGGACCATGGTCCGAATTCATCTGTCTAGCACTGTTTAGAAGTAGGTAACTGCAGAAGAGAAAGAGTAGCGTGTGTGTTTGGTAACACTTTCCCTTTCCTGCAACCTTAACAGAAAATGGCTCACTAAGTACATGGAAATCATCCTTGCTTTCCTAGGTGAGAGTCTAATTACAGATTTGGAGGTTAATTGGCCCTTTTGGAAAAGGACAAATGCTTTTTTCTTTTTCTTTTTTTTTTATTTCAAATGTATACCAAAATGTTAAGTGTTGGATAAACTGCAATAATTCAGGAAGACATCGAGACTCCTGATAGTTTTTATTACTGTGGTTGGTTTTTCTATATGTGATTTCGTAAATATATGGAAACATTTACAGAGTAAAGCGTCCTTCTGGAGGTGAAAAATGGGCAAATTCCAATTACAGGTTTGGTATGGTGTCTATTTAGTATAGTTGAGCAAAGGCCTTTCAAATGTGTAGTGCAAGGTTAATTTACTGTTTTCTTGAAGGCTGCCCTGGCCAGCCACCTGGGTAGCATTCATTGCTTAAGTAGGGAGTTGCTGACTTTTCTTGCACAGCTGAAGCCTGGATTACTACCTGATAATACAATAGGATGTAGTGGCTGGATGTAGTCATTATCTAGGCTTGTGTTTGCTGTTATTAAAGGAAATAGAGGACTTGTCATGCACGTTTTTCCCTTTTCTGAGATAATGATACTGTATTTAGACCCACTCTGTGCCTGTAGGAATGATCCCAAATGCTTTTGTCTCTTATCTCCTCCCTCTTGTATTGCATCAAAATGTGTAAGGCTTTATGTTTACATATGGTGTAGTTTAAAGGTGTTCAGCATTTCAGAGGCTCAGCTGGCCTCATCCATGCTAACATGGTGCTCATCTGTGCTTGATGATCCTGGCTGGCCTGCCTGGAGCTAGTTTGAAGTTGTCTGTGTGTGTAGAGGGCTTTCATTGCAAGCTGAGCAATGCAAGTGAGCATAATGGCCAGTGGGTGTGAGTAGTAACCTTTTACTTTTCAAAAGTGCTGAATATGAAATTTGACAGACTTGATAACAAAATGGGTAATAAGATATTTGTAAACGCGATATATTGAATAATTTAGCACACTCAACAGTGTTTGAGAATTTTAGTATTCTCAAACTGAATTACAACTAAACCTGAAAGAAATAAAGCAGGAATTCCTACAGGATCATTCTGCCACTTGCTTTTTAGAAATCTCCCTTTTTAATGTCACATTGCAACACTTCAGGAGATTTGTAGTTAGATTAGGGAGTGAATTTTAAGACTTAGGGCCATGGAAAGCTAAAGCAGATTGCTAGTGAGCTGCTTCTAGCCTAAGTGGTCTTTCCCCTGCCTTTCACAGTGCACCCACAGGGGTGGGTCTGTTTGCTGTTTTAACCAAGAACTTTTCTGCAAACAAATATTCATGTTAGTATTCAACCCAGCAGGAGAGCTAGCGTAAAGAA